CTCTCTCTCTCTCTCTCTCTCTCTCTCTCTCAAGCTCTTGAGTTTATACCACTTTGAAATCTATTATTTTACTAAAAATATAATTATCTTAAGATAAGTTAATATTACTTAATATACTATAATTAATAATCAATATAAAGATAATATAAATTTATGTCCACATTTCTCACTTGAAGTGTTAAAATGTTCAAAAGTTTTAGCTTTTAAAGATTAATAGTAAATAATATTGGTAAACCAATATACTGATAATGCACATTTTATCCATGGATATTATGGATTTTATTCATGCACACAACTCATGGTTTACATGTTCAATATATTCTAATTAACATTATTATAATATGGTTATTATGCAGATTATTTGATATAAATAATTTTTAACAAATTACTAAAGTGCACTAGAAGTGTAAGTACAATAATGCAGGTACATATACTTTATTTTAATAATTTATTACAGTATTTACAAAAAACATAATTTATAAAAATGTTAATTAAAAGAATAAAACAAATTACTTGTTAATATATTATATAGAACTATTAATATATTACAATATTTGATGATTTCACCCTGATATTGGTAATAATCTCATTAGTTTTAACATCAGAATCACTACTCATATCAATTTTATCACTTTTAATATACAACACAATAATCACATGTATTATAAAAAATAAAATCGTGGACACAATAAGGCAACCAAAATCCATATACACTAAAACCATTGGATAGGCCTCTATATAAATACTCAATATAGATGTAAATATGATTTGCCACAAACCCATCGAGAAGATAAACATCGAGCCTATAATATTGGTCACAGGGGTCACCGACTCCAGGAGCTGGTAAATGGCCGCAAATATTGGACCTAAACCCAAACCATATATCGCGTTCGCCACCCACATCATAGTGAGCGAGGTGTTTGCAAATATGCAAAACAATACCTGTGCCACAAACAGCACACACAGACTGGCGTATATAATGATGATGGGATTTACATAGTGCGATAACACTATGCAAAGGGCTCGGCTCAGTGTAAATGTGCCTGACTTGAGTGTCAGTATATTGTTTGAAGTGATCGTGTTGAGTTTAAGTGCCGAGAACTGGGCGAATGGCACCCAGTAAATGATCCAGTTCCATTGCAGGGACGAGACAAATGCGATCATGAAGGTAAACAATACAATCAACCAAAATACTGATGGTGAGGGCATCAGCTCAACCAACAGCGTATTGTGAACCTGTTTAATCATGGTGCTTATTTTATTACCCTGGGTTTCCACTTGTGTCCCATTGGGGTTTTCCACGTGGGGTTGTATCTCACGGGGTATATACTGGTGGTAAAAGTTTAGGCTCCCAATGAATAGACCTAGGGCGCATATTATGCCACCAATAAAATTAAACGGTATGTATATATTGGTGGGCGACGGCACCTGTACTCCAACAACCGTAGTGTTGCCAAGGATCACCGAACTCACAGTCGATGTTAGCCCCGGTATGTCTATCACAAACGTGTCGGTAGTGTTGGCCAACTGTTGGCTGATTGACGTCTCGGTGAACAACAGTGTGTTGTTATTGCTGTCAAACACGTCATATACATTCACCGGTTGTGACAAAAATGGGTTCATGACCTGAGGACTGATCAGTGCGGACACCGCCTGAGCTGACTGTAGCGCCTGTACGAAAGGGCCGCAATTGTCTTCCCACATCTCCACCACCCATACCGATGACACCGAGTCTATGCCACCCGAGAATATACCATTTATGGCCTGAGCCAGGTACAAAAACGGGATTTTATACAAATATGGTAAAATGCATGTGGTCACTCCAACGCCACACATACACACCATATAAGCGAGTTGTTTGTTAAATAAATTAAACGCTGGACCACCTAGGTTTTAATGTAATGCTTAAGTTTAAATATGATAAGAATACGTTTAATAAAATTAACAAGGTTAACAAAATTTACAAAATGATCATAGTTACTCAAAGAACCCAGAGTGTATGTCACACTCCATATTGTATTCATAAATGATATATCAGCGAAGGTAGTGTTGTATAGCATTTGCAGATCCAACATACTTGAGCCGTATATATTGTTTTGCACCGACTATACCGAACCGATCATCATGTAATAAAAATGTTGTTTTAAAAAATAAACATGCTATTTATTGTTGGTCTATTAATAATTATTTTAAAACTTACGTAAAATAAATAACACAAACAAATAACAAATGTTAAAAATAATCTATACCATTTTGTCATCACGTTTGCCATTATTATACTCAATTGATTAATAGAACACAACAACAAAAATAACTACCAACATTAAATAAAGTAAAAATAACTTAACATTGTTGGTTATTGAATAATTCAATATTTTCTATTCTATGACAATAAACTAATAATAGGTAACTAATCCATTGACATATCTGTTATAAATGTATTGAAAATATGACTGAATAAATGTCTATTCATTATATTTTTTACTCTCTCTCTCTCTCTCTTACATTCTATGAAAGAAACTTATGATTTTATATCTAAAACTTTGTTTTATTTAGTTACTTACAATAAATAAAATGCACACACATTTGCTAGATGCATGTAGATGCTAGAAATAATACAACTGTACAATAATAATTTTTTAATAATTCCGTTTGAGATTAAAATGTAAATTTAATATAGTATTAAATTAGTTAATTGTATAAATTACTAATTGTGATAAAGAGAACGTATTTATAAACAATTATTTATTGTACATATTATAATAAACAAAATAAATAATAATTTTAATTTTAATGAATAATAGCTTGCCGGTACTAACAAAATCTTATGTTAAAACCGAATTCTGTTAAAATTGCGGCTGTCAAAATCGCATATCTACTGTAGTTGTAATTAATTTAATCAAATGCTAAGTGCTTAAAAATAATATATTTTATTACCTAATATTAGTTTTATATTTTTTAAATTTAATCAGATGACAAATTTTGCAATAATAATTTATTGTTTAAAAGTTTATTTTAATTTATGGTATGTGATCGAATAAATAAATTACGTAGATTATAACGTAAACATGTTCAATTTAAAAATATTTTTAATGAATGCAGATTCAATTCATTATCTACCAAATGAATTCACAGAATTTTTATAATTAATTTATTTAGCAGATGCGCTCGTTTTGTAAAGCTATTTAAACTCGACAGCAATCAGGATATACAATATTTAGCAAATATACGTGGACTATAATTTTTAATCTAACCATATTGCTTTATTTAAAATTAAACGAAATATGTGGAAAATTGCAACCCTCATGATTGTGATGCTAACGATGCAGAGCTGGGCTGAGGACACCGGAGTTGAGCCAACTCCGACCACCGTTGAGACAAACCCATATGTGAACCCATTATGTGAACGCATTATGACCGATCTGAACGCATTATGTGAAACCGGGTGCTATCTTGATCTAAACCAAGGTTGGGGCCAAACTGTTTTGGCCAATATGTTAACTGCGATTTCCCAAGTGCGAGCAAACTTGAGTTTTCGCCGTATTCTGGCAAAAACACCACTCGGTAATACTCGCAATTGTGATGTCACCATAAGCTTGGCCGACCAATATACTCCCCCGGTGAGTTTGGTTGTAGTAATTGTTAATTGGCCTAGATTAATTTTATTTATGTTTGATTACAGCAAACATACGTATGTGATGTCAATATCTACGATGACGGCACCGGTACCCATACATATAATATCGGTCGAGTGACCGGCTGTTAATATGGTAACTAATAAAGTATTATTATACTTGGGTTGTTTAATGTTACAACGAACTACATTAAATATATATTTTTTGTTTAACATATTTGTCTAAATTATAATTAAAATATAAATCTTTTTGTATAATATTTTGGGCTAAATTTTTAATTTGATTTAAAATTTAATAAAATTGTGCATTTTATTTGGTGTATATTAAATGTAACAAAATAGTATATAAAAATCATATAAACATATAATTTATTTATTATCACTCCTAGTTATACCCAATATTTAATAAAATATACATAAAAAACAACAATTTTGTTAACTAAAATGTGAAAATATAAGGTGCATCCTATATACATAATGTTAATAATTACAAATTATGTGTGAAATTAGAAAATACGCAGGTGTTAAATTAAGCCTATACTAAATCATATACCCCAATATGGGGTTACTTGCATTATGTGAATTTAAACAGTTTGTGACACAATACAATGTGATTTTAGGCAGCTTTGAGTATATAAAGATATTTACAATATAATGAAATGCGCATACTGTACATGTAGATGCTAGAAATAATACAACTCTACAATAATAATTTTGAAATAATTCACTTTAACATTAAAATGTAAATTTAATATTGTATTTAATTAGTTAATTGTATAATTACTAATTGTGATAAAGAGGGCGTATTTATAATGTTATATTTATTATATTTATCAATTCATTATATTTATTATACATATTATATTAAACAAAATAAATAATCATTTTAATTAATAATTTTAATAAGATATCATTTTAACAACAAATTTTATAAATTATTTTTAAAAATACAAAACAAAACCAAATAATTTAAACAGATTATACTGTATAACAAAATTATTTACATATACATTATAATTTAGGTGCACTCAATATCTCATAACATTTGATGATTTTCTCATTTGCAATGATTCAATTTCTTTAGTGTTACTTCTAACTAGATCCGATACAATCTCTTTAGTTTTAGCATCAGCGTTGTCACTCACATTAATTTCATCCCTCTTAATATACAACACAATAATCACATGTATTATGAAAAACAAAAGTGTGCCCACAATAAGGCAACCAAAATCAATGTATACTAAAATCATTGGATAGGTTTGAATAAAAATTCCCAGCAATACCGTAATAATCACCATCAATAAGCCAATTAGAAAAATAAACATGGTGCCGATAATGTTGGTCACAGGGGTTATTGACTCCAGGAGCTGATATATGGCCGCGTATATCGGGCCCAGACCGAGGCCAAATAAAATATTTGCCACCCACATCATAGTGACCGAGGTGTTTGCAAAAATGCACAACAATATATGGGCCACAATCAACAGAAATAAACTGGCGTATATAATAATGATAGGGCTTACGTAATACGAGAGTACCACGCAAAGTGCCCTGCTCAGTGTAAACATACCGGCCTCAACGGTCAGTATGTTATTTGAAACGATCGTGTTCATTTTCAAGTCCGAGAACTGGGCAAATGACACCCAATAAAGGCCCCAGTTCCACATTAGGTTTGTAATAAAAGCGATCATGAACGATAGTAATATAATTAGCCAGAAAACTGATCGCGATGGCATTAGCTCTATCAATAAAGATTTTTGAGCTTGTTTGATCATGGTGATTATTTGTCTACCACAGGTACCCACTGGTACTGATGTGTCTTCGGTCTCGGACTGAATCTCACGAGGTATATACCTGTGGTAAAAATTTAGGCATCCAAGAAATAGACCTAGGGCGCATACTATGCCACCAATAAAATTAAACGGTAGGTATATATAGGTAGGCGACGGCACCGGTACGCCAACAATAGTATCGTTGCCAACAATTACCGAACTCACAGTCGATGTTAGGCCCGGTATGTCTATCGCAGGCGTGTCGGTAGTGTTGGCCAACTGTTGGCCGATTGACGTCTCGGTGAACAACAGGTTGTTATTGCTGTTAAACACTTCATATACGGTCACCGGTTGGGATAGGTATGGAGTCATAATCTGAGGGCTGATGAGTGCGGACACCGCCAGCGAGAACTGTAGCGCCTGTACGTATGGCCCGCAGTCCTGTTCCCACATCTCCACCACCCATACCGACGACACGGCGTCCAGACCTCCAGAAAACAGACCATTGATGCCCATAACCAGACCCAGAATCCACACTTTGTATAGGTATGGTGTAATACATGTGGTCACTCCTATCACCAGCAAACATACCATATATGCCAGTTGTTTGTTGAATAAATTAAATGCAGGGGCCCCTAGTTCATTAAATATAACGTATACGAGTATATATTACTAGTTAAATGGATTAAATAAGTGACCATGATTACCTAATGATCCCAAAGTGTATGTCACACCCCATACTGTATTCATATACGATATATCAGAAAATGAACAGTTGAACAGCAATTGCAAATCTAAAAGACATGATCCATACATATTGTTTTGAACGCCCTGTTATGACATGTGGGGCAATTAATTGAACATGGTGATTAAAAACAAACACAATAAATTAACGCAAAATTTTTATTCAAACTTACGTAAAATAAATAACACAAACAAATGACAAATGTTAGAAACAATCTATAGCCTTTTGTAAGCATTTTCTACATCAACATTGGTTGTTTGACGGTAAATAACACTTTTGTTAATTAAAACTAATTTGCTAATTTTAGTACTGTATTAATTTAACTATAAATTGTAAAAATCCAAACTATGTCATCAATTATAATCACATAATTTAACTTAATTTTAAAATCAAATGTATTAGCAGTTATTATTTCTTAATATAAAATTTTAGATTTATTTAAATTAATAAATTTACAAATATAATAATAGTAATTTTATATACACAATAAACCATTGACAAACAGTTTTTTGAATATGATAAGAAATTAAATAGTTATTCAATAAATGTCTATTCATTATAAAATTAATTATCTAGTAATAGTACAAAATATGCTTTCTCTCTCTCTCTCTCTCTCTCTCTCTCTCTCTCTCAAACTATTATTATGTTTGGCAATCAAACAAAGATTTTTGCAAAATATATAAAAAAAACATTAAATCGAAGTGAATTATTATTTATATATACTGTACATAATAATAAACGATCCATGCTAAAATTCAAGTCTAATAAAGTACATCTTACATGCATTTTGTTTGATTTTTATTTAGTAATTAATTTTAAAATTGTTTTATAAAAAATTATTTAATTGTGTAAATTTTAAAACATAAATTAACAAGTAATGCAATTACATATTTGATGAATTGTGGTACAATAAAATAAGCATTTTGTGATATAAAAATAGAACTTTATAATAAATTAAATTTCTAATAAAGTAAATTAATAAAATATATTTACTAGCTTTGTAAACTGCTACATATATTTAAAGTTAAATGTTAAATACATGTCACATTAAATATAATAAAATTATTTACACAAACTAGTTAATATCTCATAACATTAGATTGTGGCCTAAATAAGTCAGATACAATTTCTTTAGTTTTAGCATCAGCGTTATCACTGACAGTAATTTCATCTTTCTTAATATACAACATAATTATCACATGTATTACGAGAAACAAAATGATAGACACAATAAGGCAACCGAAATCTATATAGACTAAAATCATTGGATATGTCTCAATAAATATACCCAACAATACAGTGAATATAACCAACAATAAACCAATCAAAAAAATAAACATCGAGCCAATAATATTGGTCACAGGGGTTATGGACTCCAGGAGCTGATAGATGGCCGCGTATATCGGGCCGAGACCTAAACCAAATATAACATTTGATACCCACATCATAGTAAGCGAGGTGTTGGCAAATATGCACAACAATACGTGGGCCACAAATAGCAACACCAGACTGACGTATATGATAATGATTGGGCTTACATAGGCTGACAGTGCCACACAAATGACCCGGCTTAGTGTAAACATACCGGCCTCAAGTGTCAGTATGTTATTCGATGTAATCGTGTTCATTTTTAGACCCGTAAACGAGGCAAATGAGACCCAGTAAAGGCCCCAGTTCCATTGTATGCTGGTTATAAAAGCGATCATGAACGATAGCAATATAATTAGCCAAAACACTGATTGAGAAGGCATTAACTCTACGACCAATGTATTACGGGCTTGTTTGATCAGGGTAATTAATTGTTTACGCCCACTGGCGTTGGATTTGGTGGTGACTTCAATCTGGGTTTCAACCACTCGAGGTATATACCGGTGGTAGAAGTTTAAGCTACCAATAAATAGGCCAAGCACAATTACAATGCCACCAACAAACAGGAATGGTATGTATATTAAGGTGGGTGACGGCACCGGTACGCCAACAACGGTAGTGTTGCCCACAATCATCGAACTCACTGTTGATGTTAGGCCCGGTATGTCTATCGCAGTCGTGTCGGTAGAGTTGGCCAACTGTTGTCCACCAATTGACGTCTCGGTGAACAACAGTGTGTTATTGGTGTCAAACACTTCATATACGGTCACCGGTTGTGACAGAAATGGTGTCATAATTTGAGGGCTGATGAGTGCGGACACCGCCAGCGAGAACTGTAGCGCCTGTACGTAAGGGCCGCAGTTGTCTTCCCACATCTCCACCACCCATACCGACGACACCGAGTCTATCCCTCCCGCGAATATACCATTGATTCCCAGATTAATGTACATGAAATAAAATTTATACATATACGGCAGGGCACAAGTGCACACTCCTATTACGACCAAACACACCATATATGCTAGTTGTTTATTGAAACGATTGAATGCCGGGCCACCTAGGTATATGGGTTAAATTGATTTAACCTTAATAATTTTATAATAAGTTTATGATGGTTACTTAATGAGCCCAGAGTGTATGTGGCGCCCCATACAGTGTTCAGATATGATATCTCGGTGAATGTACAGTTAAATAGTAATTGCATGTCCAGTAGAGATGATCCATATATGTTATTTTGTATTGACTGTACCGATTGTAATGAGTTTTAAGTTTGTCATTGTATTATTTAAATATCTAATTATTATTAATTTTTAAAACTTACGTAAAATAAATAACAAAAACAGATGACAAATGTTAAGAAGAATTTATAGCGTTTTGTTATC